CTCCTTCACCGGCCTGTCGTTCAGCGGATCCTTCAGGCTCTCCGGCTTGGCGCCTTTGGCGGGTAAAGGCCTCATTGGAGGCATGCCTGCTGCCGACGGCGCCTTGGCGGCCTCGCAGCAGCCGCAGGTCAGCCCGCGGAGGCGGAGCAAGAGGCGCTGCGGGCCAAGTGCGCTCGAGCCGCAGGTCGCAGAGGGGAGAGGGACATGTAGAGGCCCAGCCCAGATCTCCAGGGACTAAAAGATGGCGGCGTCGAAACTTTTTGTCTGCGCTCTCGCCTTCCAGAGGCCGTGGGCCCCAGGACCCTCGCAAAGGCCCACCTGGGGCGAAAAGCCAGTCCTGCGGCAGGGATCGAGAGGTCCTCGGCCCCGACAGGAGGACGCCAGCGATACGCTTACAGCGATCCTGCCCAGGCTCATCCTCGGGCCAGCATCGGTGCATACGCCCTGCTGGCTGGAGCACGGTGGCGTGTGAACTGGTCCCCGAACTGGGAGGGGCCCGGCCAGGGTCGGTGCATGTGCACAGTTTTAGGTCGGACATGTCCTCCTACAGGCGGATGTTGGAAGAAAACTCAAAAAAAAACGCCAAAAATACTTCAAAAATAATCAAGAATGGTCGAAAAGTCGTCCCAAGACTATCTTATTACGTTGGTTGAACATTCCTCCTGTAGAGGGGCATGCCCGACGTAAGCATAAATCTCTCCGCCCAAGGATGGAGAACCAAACAAGCAGAGACTCGAGAATATCTGGCATGTGGCTGTTCTGCGCTCTCGGCCTCCAGAGGTCGCCTTCAGGCCCCGGGACCGCCAAAGACCTGATCAGAGTGAAGAGCCAATTGTGTACCGATCCCACGCCCAGGATGGACCTTGCCGGGACTGGTGCATGTGCATATTTTTTTGTCAGCGATCCCCTGGGGGCCTGAACGATTTTAAACAACACATCGGCACAGATGGCCGATGACGACCAGCGCTCAGCCGCTGAGCGCGTTTAACGTACACAGCGGTTGAGGGACAGTTAGCGGGAAGAAAAGGACGGTCCCGAAGGGCCCCAAATCTAGCCCACCACGCCATCCAACAAAACCTGGTCACGTTGCGTCGCTCGCGGACGCAGCAGCAGGCCTTGCCACCGCCGACGCCTCGCGGGCCTGGGTGCGCGCCAAAAGCGCCGCCATTCCTGCCGTCTCTATCAGCCCTGACGGCGAGAGCGGCAGGCTGACGTCGGGCGGCGGAGGCCGCTGAGACGCGTAGCTGAAGAACGCCACTCCACGCCTCGAAAACTCACTCACCGTGCTGCTGTCACGGTAGTGCGGATAAATTCCAGAAAAAGATTCGCCTCAGCGTGGTGGCACATCCAGCCAATCTGCGCTCAATGCACTCCTTGCCGAGCATGTGGCAGCGTGCGGAAGAGTACGCTCCGCACGTGGTGCAAAAGAAGAGGGTGAGCCTCTGCTCACCCTTACTTACAATGCAATGCGCAAGGGAGTGCCCCAGGGACCGATCCAAAATACCGCGCCACAGCCTGCTGGGCCCTCTACATCCCAACATGGGTCGCGCCTCCAGGTCCGTGGAAAGACAAAGGCAATGCAAACATCTAGCGCAGCCCTGACCAATCTCTTGCCAGGAATGCCAACCTCCCGATTTTAAAAACTTGGCCCTCGGCCCCGCGGGCTGACGGTCAAACCTCTCGGGAGGAAAGGTGGCTAGCACGGTGCCCGCCACTCTCGCCGCAAAGACTAGTAAATCACACTTCCTGTACACCTCTGCTCTTTCATGCACACTGGGTTGAGGATGGAGGAGGAGAGCTTGCTTGGCCAGGGCGTCGGCTTTCAAGTTGCCTGCGCCGATCCGTCTCTCGTGCGCTGGCAGGGCGTCCAGAACAGCACGCGCGCGGTGCGCAGGAGCGTGGTACACCGATGGGGTAGGGGACTCTTCACGCAGAAGGACACCTCTCCGAAGGCCAGCATAACGATGTTTATGGAAAACCTGGTATTCCCGCGTAGCCACACAGATGCGCACCACATTCATGCAATCGGCGTGGCGGTCGCCGCCCTTGCTCTGAAACATCGGGAGCAAGGCCATGCAGGGATCGTCGCTCAGGGGCGTATCATCCATGTGATCGTTGACTTGCCTGGATGGCCGCCCCTTCATGTGTTTTCGCGCTATTTTAAATCAGGGACTGGTCTGTGCGCGGTCAATCTCTCCCTTCTGCGGCAGTTGGGAGAGAGGCTTACTGGGAAACATATGTACGTCGTGGGGGGAGACTGGAATCTTGACCCCCCACCTGGTTGACTCCACGGGACTGGCTCGCAGAGTTGAGGGTGCTTTCTTTGCGCCGGCGCAGAAGACGTGTTTGTCCCCAGGAAGCCTCACCACGATCGACTACTTTTTAGCTAGCACGTGCTTTGCACGTGCCTGTGATAAGATTGAGGCTGACATGTCCTGGACCCATCGCCCCCATAGGCCCGTGCGCCTCACGCTGCGTTGCGATGCTGTTCGGTGCCATCAGCTGATGCACCGGTCGCATCAGAGACTCCCGACGGAGCTTCCGTTTGGACCGACCCCCAGACCCCAGGACTGGACCCTCAGCCGCATCATTGCTGAGGACGCTGCTGCCGCGGCCCTCGCTCGCCCCATCGGCGAGGCGCGGGAGCTTCTCACTGCTGCCTGGCAGTATCTCGCCAACCAGCTCGAGCTTGAGCTCGAGTCTTTCACGGGCGTTGAGGTTTAAAGCAAAGGGCACAAAGGGGACCTCCTGAGAGCTCGCTGGGTTCCGATTTTTGCCAATCCCAAGGCCTGTGGCCTCCGAGAGCAGCACGTTGGGTGGATCTGATTGGCCCAACGTTTGTCGGATACCATTGGCGTTTCGTTTCGGCTTCGTAGGGCGCTCCAGGGCCCCGATTCCACGGATCAAGCTCAGTTTCAGCAGTTGTCTGAGGGCGCGAGCCACCAGATCCAGCAGCTTCTCATGTTACCATGCCCCGGTGAAGGGCAGAATGTTAAACTCGACGCGACCCTCGCCCAGGCGCGCAACTTGGCTCGTTCCTTCGCGCTCGATGACGGCCTCGACGGCTGGATTGAGCAGCGTCAGGAGTTTCTGTCGTCGCGGGGCGACGACCTGAGCGAGGCGCGCAAGGCCGTCGCGAAGGTCCAGCAGGACAGTGTGGATCAATTGCAGGAGAAGGCCCTCTCGGGGGGTGCACGGGCCACGCATAGGCCCACGAAACCCAAGCAGAAGTGGACCCCGACCGTCGTGCAACATCATCCTGGCTGTTTCTCCAACTCCCCCCAAGAGCTGCTCAAGGCGGAAGGTCAATCCCTGTCTGAGTTCTGGCATGCGTCTCACATCCCCCCCGAGGCGCGCGTCCCAGATCGGGCCCACCCCCCTAGGCCGACGGCGGCTGAGATCAGGAGTGCGCCCAGCAGCTTTTCGCACCTGACGTCGCAGTCCCTGGACGGACTGCATCCGAGACAGCTCGCGTTGGTCTCGGACGATGCCCTTGACACGTTCGGGGCGATAATCCAAGCGATCGAGTCCCTAAGCCTTTTTCCGAAACCACTGTTCTGGCTCTTGTTCCCTCTGTTGGAAAAACCCAAGGAAGGCCTCCGCCCTATTTGGTTGTGTGCTGGCCCTGTCCGTGTCTGGGAGCGTTTGCGGAGACCTCTGATTTTTGGATTTCAATGCGAACTACCATCGATGCTACTGGGCGTTTGGCCCTGGCCCTAGCGCTGAGAATGCTGCGCGGCACCAGGCCGTTCAGGCCGAGACGGCCCACTACGAGCCGCAGGAAAAAAAGGGGCATTATATGGGACGGGGCGAAGTACTACGAGTCTTTCGGCTTGGCCCTCCTCAAGGATAGGGCGGCACGGCATCAACGGGGTTATCGTTAAAACGACGTTTAACTATTGGAGGGGCAACCGTTTGCTCCGTTTGGGGGTCCATTACGGGGCCCAGCCTTATTTTGCCCGATCTGGGCTTCCCGCGGGAGATTTCTTCAACGATGCCACGGTTAGAGTTTACAGCATCGAAGCGTTTGACAAGCTTGTTGGAGATAGCGCCAGCGTCGGTTTGTCGCCGTACGTGGGCGATGATAGTGTCACAGCGTCGGGCTCGGAACAAGAGGTCTTGGCCAAAATCGCGCAGGCCGCGGCATGCGTGCACGTCCTGTTTAGGGACGAGCTGCGCGTCGGCATTCAGCCCGACAAGGTCAGCACCGTTGCCAGCAGCCGCACCCCCGCCAAGAAGATTGCTCGGCACCTCGGGCAGCTGGCTGGGAAGGCCACGAACTGCGCGGTCTCTCCCGGCGCGGATTTTGCACCAGGTCAGTCACGACGCGCCAAACATGGTCTGCGGGATAGAACGCAAAGGTTCTCCCACATGAGGAAGAGACACAAAGTTTTGATGGGATATCGTTCGGCCCTCCCCCGTCAAAAATCGCGAATGGGGAAAATCTACACGCGTGGAGTTGTACCTGCGGCCAGTTTTGGCTCGGCGGTTGTGGGGGTGAGCCAAGGCGAGCTCCAAGTGGCTCAACGTGTGCTTTTATCGTCGCACCCCCCTAGGCACCGCGGGTGCCCCCTCCAGGCGCGTTTGGTTATCCCTGGGGACCCCATGTGGAGGCCGTCCGTTTCGCCCGCCTTACAGCGGGTTTCGGTGGTTTGGCTGGCCCTCACGCCCCCGTCGATTTCTCGATATAATGTCAAGGCAATGTCTCAGCTTTGGCGCGCTGCCCCCTTTGATGACACGGTCACGTGGCGATCATCACGAGGACCTCTGCAGCGCATGCACCTGTCTTTGGCCATGATAGGGTGGCAGTCGGTGACCCCCCTCACTTTTGGTGCATCTGGGCTACACCTCGCCTGCGATGCTGGCCCATATGTTGCAGTTGGCTGTCCAACGTAAGCACGAGCGTGCTTTGTGCCAAGACACCTCTGGGGCTGACTGCGTTCGGTTTTGCGTGGGTCCCCTCAACCTTGTTGGGCCATAAGGGAAAGAAGCTCAATCCCCAGCAAAAGCACCTGGCTTTGAGCGTCCTCTGCAAAGGGGCGTGGACCCGTGCGAGGGCTCAGGCTGCTGGACATGCGCGCGATGGGCGATGCCCTAAGTGCGGGATGCCTGATCGCGCGCGGCACCGCGCTTGGCAGTGCCTTCACCCTGGGGCCGTCGCGGCTCGGAAAAGCGCCACG